ACAAGTAACAGTGGAATTGGTGGAGCAGGGGAAAGGAAAAATGGAATCAGAAGAAATTCTAATGATGATATTATCACTGTGCTGCCAGAAAATAACTGCCAATCCTGAATTTAACCCAACTAAGATATCATTTAAAAATGAAGCTGGACAACTTGGCCAGGTGCAGTGGCTCATGCCTATAATCCCAACACTTTGGGAGAGCAAGACAGGCAGCTTGAGGTCAGGAGTTCAAGACCAGCCTGGCCAACATGGTAAAACCCCGTCTCTACTAAAAATACAAAGATTAGCTGGGCATCATGGCATACACCTGTAGTCCCAGATACTTGGGAGGCTGAGGCAGGAGAATCGCCGGAACCCAGGAGCAGAGGTTGCAGTGAACTGAGATTATACCACTACATGCCAGCCTGGGCAATAGAGCAAGACTCCATCTCAAAAACAAACAAAAAACAACCAAAAGAAGAATGAAGCTGAAACAAAAATATTTTCAGAGAAGCAGAAAAGAAGAGAAAGAATTTGCCTAGAAAATGTGTGCCAAAGGAGGTACCAAAAGATATTCAGGCAAACAGCAAATGATCCCTGATGGAAGGCCAGAAATTCAGGAAGGAATAAAAGTGAACAAAAGTGGCAAATATATACATACCAGTAGTTCTCTTAGGTATATGCCCAATGGCCATGGGTACACATATTTACTAAAACTGTTCAAGTGCCTGTCAGCAGTAGACTAAATTATATAGTGACATATACCTTACAGCCATGCAAATGATCTGCAGTAATGGAGATGAATTTCACAAACAATATTGAGGAAAATTAGCCAGACACAAAGGACTACCTGATGTATGATTCTGTATATATTAAAGTATAATAGGAACAATGAATCTTTGCTTAAGAGCAATAGGATAGGTTATTAGAGGCATAGGTGCCTTGCAGAGTCCAGGTGTGCAAGGGAGACTACTAGGGTGCTCAGATATTCTGTTTCTTCATCTGGGTGTGGGCTTCACAGTTTTATTCAGTTTGAAAATTCAGCATGATGTATAGTTACGTGCACTTTTCTGCATGTACATTATATATTAAGCATTTTTAAAATAGAAAATGAGTAATTTCAATGAATAATGGTTGTATAAAAGAATTTTGTGTTTATAGTTAGGAAGAAATTAGAGCAATTAAGGCCTGTGAGGTATCAACTTATGAAATGTCAAAGTATTTGTGTTTTAGACTCTCAAAATGATTTTTGCCCCCGAAACCCTTTAACAAGCAATTTTGAAATTACAAGGGAGCAATCCCAACCAAATAAATTTAAAAGGAGTTTCAGTTATCTTGGAATATTCTTAGTAGATCAGAAATGAATTACATTGTGTTTTTCAATAAAAAGTATTTTTAAAAATATTTTTAAACCTATTGTCTGTTTTACTACTGCCCATATTGCTTGGTCTGCTTTTTAACACCACTCAATCTGGCAGTATCCCTTGAGAAGTATATGGCACTTAATGTGTATCGTTCCCTAGAGGAATCATGAAAAGAAAGAAAAGGTGCAGATTTTCTCTTGGGATACAATACAAAATTAATTGAAAAAGGAAGAACCCATAATTTAATGTATAGTTACAACTGGGGAAAAAATCATAATATATAATTTTCACATTTGTTGATTATGTCTTCTTAAATGCCAGTTATTACTAGCACAATTAATGCTCAGTATGTAGCAGCTCGTATAGCTTATGTTTGTATTTTCATCTGCTCGGTTTATATACAATGATCTTAGCTGTAACATTCATTTTTATGCATTGTCGGCTTACTCTTTCTTTGCTTGCTTTAGACTCTCAGTTGGCTTTTGCATTCCATATTAAGGTTTTGAAAGAAATTCTTCAACCAAAAATGAATTGTATTTTTGTTATAGTGATTCTGCTGCATGGATTACAAGCACTCTATCTCCATGCTTGGATAAACTCCATCAAAAGCACATTATCCTCCTACTTCTGTGGCCAGCTGCCTAATTGTATCTGCTGTAACCACATGCTGTTGGAACATGATACCAATGAAGAACAGAAATGATAAATTACTCCCTGCAGGTGATAGTGATAATGATAATTTTTAATTTCCTTCTTCCTCATAAGGCCTAGTCTGATCTTATTTCATTGGTTGCCATCCTATTACATACACTTGATGTGTCCTCTCTAAAGAAATACGCGTCACGTCAAAATACATGAGAAAGTCATTTGTTTTTATCCCAAATCATTGTTCTTCAAATGAGTGTATACTAAATGAACTGCATTTACCTTTATACATATAAACAAGCAAAACATGGCTTAAAACAGATTTTTTCATGATTCAGTTTACAAATGCCATGAGCTTTCGTCATTTTTGTGAAATCCACAGAGATGAGCAACTCATTCTAAAACTATTCTATACTGAGGAATATTTAAAATGTACAATAAAGTTACATGCTTGTATTTTCCTTTCATTCTGTTTTCTTCTATCATTGTTTTTGTTTTATTATTAATTACACTCATTGTCCCTTCTCTCACTCTAAGGAACTTTTATAACTGAAATTTTTAGTTGTAAAATTTTCTGTCTGTGGTATAATTCAGCGGAATTTTATTTAATTGTGACCTTGTCTTTGCAGATTAAACCAGCTCCTACAGATACATTTTAATCCTTTTTTTCCCTCAGCAGTTCTCATTGCCCTGACAAGATAGGGATGTGAGACAAAGAAGAAATTTCTTTGTCTGTAGTCAGCCTTCAAACCTTTCTGATCTTTTACAAGCACATATCAGGTTGTAGCTCCAGTTATTTATTGCCATTGCCTATTAGTCACTATTTCCTATGACTGTTTATTGTTATATGTGAATGACCTCCACAGAGAGAATGTATATTCATTGAAATTAACATCTAAAAGATGTAAAGATAGGCCGTCAAAGTGATGGTAGCAAGGTGGCCAAACTGTAATTGAAAATAGTGGCATGTTTATATTCTTCTGACAAAATGAATCATTTTATTCCTGAATCAGATAGTTTGGTTATATCATTATTCCTTATTTTTAAATAGCTTTGCAGAAATAAAAACTCTAATCATAATTCATTTGGTTTTATGTTACTCTGTTTCAAAATTTTTTTTTCCTTAATCTCTTTTAATTAAGAATTAGTGGCATGCAACTGTAGTCCCAGCTACTCAGGAGGCTTAGGCAGAAAGATCCCTTAAGCCTGGGCACCATGGCGGGACTCCATCTCTAAAATTAAATAAAGTTTTTTAAAAGAATCACTTACACTGAAAAGGAAAAAAAACACACACACACACCACAAACCCTGTCTCTGTAAAGGGCATTCTAAATCATGTTGGTGTTTGAGGGTAAATGCCCATTTTAAAACCAGAAACTCCCTTTTTTTCAGAGCAAAAATCTTCCCCTTTCTCAGCTATATGACTGCTGTCTAACAAGTAGATAGATTATCTGCACACAGTTTTGAATTTCAGGTGAATTTTTTCCTAATTTCTCCTCATGCTTCTATGGAACTGATTTAGTATTAGTGTAAACCAAACCTCATTAGAAATGTAACTGTGCTTGAGTAGTCAAAGATACCATGATACATTTCACATAGATGCAATTTCAGATTTTTGTCATAGATCCTTTCCAGTGCTTATAATGAAGTTAACTATATCTTTCATTTTTCTTTGTCTTAAAACTTAAGATTTCTTTCACTGTATTATTTAAGAACTGGAAATTTTTAAGTGAAGTTCATACACAGATTTGGAGATTGATTAATAAGCATGTGTGGGTTTGGTGGCTCACACCTGTAATCCCAGCACTTTGGGAGGCCCCTCCAAAAAATGTGGGGAAAAGTAAATCCTAGTAAACTAGTATGAGCTTTTGTGAAAATAAATTTGGGTTTAAAAGCAGCTTTTGTAACATATTCAAATATATGAAGAGAAACATTTCTAATTCTCATTTAAAAAAAAAGACTGGCAATAAATGTAGTATAACAGTTATAGAACTATAATTACAGAAAGATGAGAGGCTGATACATGTTTTTACAAGATACACTAAAAATTTTAAAAACAAAAAGATATTTTAGAACTATGGGTTTTCTGTTCTTTTTCCAGGTTACCTTTTGGTAGCATTTCCCATCAACCTAAAGAACACCTTTTAAAATGTCTTCAAAAAAAGTTTATTGGAAATGAATTTGTTTTCCTTGACTTGAAAATGTCTTATATTTTGCCATCATTCATAAATATTCTTTCTAGATACAGAATTTTAAAACATTTTTCTTCATCAGTAGCTTTTTCTTTTCTCTCTGGACCACCAATGACATGTTAGATCTGTAGGTCTTCAAGGTTCTATAACGTGCATTTTATTGCAGTCTTTTTCCTTCTTCAAATTGGGTAATTTCTATTAATCTTTATATTCACCTATTTTTTTTCCTGTCATCTCCATTCTGCTATTCAGCCCAGAAGTTTCAGTTATTGCATTTTTCAATTAAAAATTTTTCATTTGGTTTTTTTTATGGTTTCTATTTCTCTGCTGAGAATTTCTATCTTTTAATTCATTCCATTGTGTTTTCTGTTATCTTGTGGAGCATAGTTATAATTGCTGCTTTAAAGTTTTGCTTGATAGTACCAGCATCTGGATTATCTCAGAGGTGGCATCTGTTGTCTTTTCTCTTGAGGGTTGTTCAGTTTTCTTGATTCTTTGTATGTTGAGTAATTTGAGATTGTGCCTCAGATGTTGTGCATGCTATGTTGTGTGGGCTGTGTGTCTTGTGAAAATCTTAAGAATGTTGACGTTTGGTGTTGCAGACAGTCAGCCCAGGTAAATTAAGACCGTAAGTTCTCTCTTAGTGTCCGAATAGACAGTTGGCCACGTCTCAGTCACATTCTCTAAGCCTTTGTTATGCGTTATGAGGCTTTTTTGCTCATTCCTAGTTTACAGATTAGTCTGAGACTTTTACAGGTTTTTCAAATCTCAGGTCAGTTCTCTAGGCCTTTACTTGTTGGTTTTGGTTTTTTCCGTGCATGTTTTATTCAGAGGTTAATCCTGAGACTTGCACCAGTGATTCAAACTTTAGTTCAGTTCTCTAAACTTTTGATATGTGGCTTTGGGTCTCACCTGAAAATGCATAATTTGGGGGGTTAGGCTGAGATTTCTGCATTTCCTACATACAGAATTAGGAGATCTTTTCTAACTCTCTCCTCTCCATATTTGTCCCACATGTTCCATGCTTTTCAGAGTTAAAAATTATTAGTTCCATTCAAGTTGTTAGTGCTTTAATAAACTATATTGACTATGTAATAAGGCTAGCCATATTTGAGACTGAAGATGGTGCATGCCTGTAATCCCAGCTACTCAGGAGGCTGAGGCAGGAGAATCACTTGAAAACCCAGGATGGGGAGGTTGCAGTGAGCTGAGATCACGCCACTGCACTCCAGCCTGGGTGACAGAGTGAGACTCTGTGTCCAAAAAAAAAAAAAAAAAAAGAGAGAGAGATAATGGAGACTAAAAATTTTAATTTGGCTAATATTTATTGAGAACCTACTGTATGACATTGTATTGAGTAAGGGGCATAGAAGTGAATTACACATATGCCCTCTTAAATAAATTACAGTATAAGGCAAACTACAGTATACTATCATAACTAATATAATAGAATGCATAATAAACACATTTGCTCAGCAAATATTTTATTGTATCCTATGGGCCAAGTACTGCTCTGGGCACTAAGAGTATGGTGGCAAACAAGACAGGTATACAGGAATAAATTTAAGAAAACAATTGAATTAGTCTGTGAAGGGGCATCATAAGTATCCAGAAATCAGCTGAAAAAAGTTATGTTTAGAAATATTCTAATTAATCACATGGTTTGTGTGATAATCTGTAGCTGAGTAATACATTGCTTTATAATTCTATTTGGCAGAATTAATAGTATTTTGATTCTCTCTTGGTATCTAAAATGTAATAAACCTCAAGGTTAAATATTGAATTTGCTTTGGACCCAATCCATATTAACCCTACAAGATTAATAAAATGTCACATTTTTAACAAAAGCAGCATTATACAAATTAGCTTTATCACGATTTTTTTTTTAAAAAAATCAGTATCCTTTTTTTTTTTTTAAAGCTTTATAAGCTTAATGTTGTGCCAGTTTTAAAAAATGATTAAGTCTACCTAGTTCTATTAGTGAAAGAAAAAGGAATGGTATTTAACTTTAACCAAAAATATCAAAATTATATATTTATCTGAATATGTTAATTTCTTTAGGAGATCTTTCTGTATTATCACAGTAACCTTAGAGCTCACTTTGGAGTTTCTCCTTTGAGTACTTTCTTCAACATAAGAATTGCGTAGTATTGTTCATTTTAAAAAAAAAAAAAAAGGTAACATTTTAAAAATCTATTGATTACATCACAAAAATAGTCATAGTATTTGACTTAAAAATGGATGTACTAGACTAGAAGAAATTAAATGAACTGGCTTTGTATAAAAGAGGGTGTTTCAATTATTTATTGCTGTATAATAGCCCACCTCAAAACTCTGGCTTGAAGCCAAAACCACTTATATCTATTTGTTTATGACTCTGCAATCCAGACTGGACTTAACTGACTAGTTCTCCTGCTGGTCTTTCCTGGCATCTTTTATGCAGCTACAGTTGTCTGAAGGCTTGACTAGAGCTGGAGCGGTCAAGATGGCCTAACGCACAGGTGGACATCTCAGTTGGCGAGTGAGGATCAGTGAGGAGCTAGCTGAGCCTCTCTTTCCATGTGTCTTTACCTTTCAGTGATCTAGCATGATTATTTGTGTAATAAAACACATTGATTATTTGATTAGCTTTATTACCTTTATTATGTTACTTCTGTGAGGAAAAGCCAAATTACATTATTTTGTTTCTACTTATAACATTTTTTCCAGTAAAGTATTGAGTTTAAGAGCTATTTAGTCTCTGAAATTGTTTCATTTGGTATGTCTTAAAAGACAATAATTAGTTATTACATTATATAATTTGTTTAGTAAGTATTTGTATTTCTTTTTTTAAAAAAAAAAACAGGCAATTGCTGGCTACTTTGATATATATTTTGAGAAGAATTGCCACAACAGGGTAAGTATCATGGTTTATCTCATAAGAATTATTACAGAAGTACATTATATTTTATTTTGTGCCCCAAGGTGTTTAATCAGAAGCATTTTGCTGTTGTAAGCAGTTGGGGCTTGTGTTTGGTGTAGTAGATTAATGTACTGTGATATTAAAAATCTTGTACTTCATCAGATACTTTTGAACTTTACCAATTCAGGTTGTGTTCTCTACGGGCCCTCAGAGCACCAAAACACACTGGAAACAAACAGTGTTTCTACTGGAAAAGCCATTTGCAGTTAAAGCAGGTGAGAAAGAATAGTAGGGGGAAAAGTATCTTATTCATTCTGAAGTAAATGATATTCATTTTACAACCACTTTTTATGTGCACACTATATTTGATGTCTTTACTTTTTTTTTTGAGACAGAGTCTCATTCTCTCACCGAGGCTGGAGTACAGTGACATGATCTCAGCTCACTGCAACCTCCATCCCCTGGGTTCAAGCAGTTCTCCTGCCTCAGCCTCCCAAGTAGTTTGGATTACAGGCGTGCATCACCATGCCTGACTAATTTTTGTATTTTTAGTAGAGACAGGATTTCACCATGTTGGTCTTGAACTCATGGGTTCAAGCGATCCTTCTGCCTTGGCTTCCCAAAGTGCTGGGATTACAGGCGTGAGCCACTGTGCCTGGCTTGCACACTATATTTCAAGCAATATAACAGAAGTTAAGATGTTCTGAGAGCTTACCATCTACATAAATTTTAGATGGCATATCATTTACATAAATTTTAGATGGGTTCAAGCTAGTATCCTGCCTCAGCCTCCCAAGTAACCAGGATTACAGGTGCCTGCCACCACACCCAGCTAATTTTTGATATTTTTAGTAGAGATGGGGTTTCACCACATTAGCTAGACTGGTCTCGAACTTCTGACCTCAGGTGATCCGCCCACCTCAGCCTTTCCAAAGTGCTGGGATTACAGGCATGAGCCACCACACCTAGCCAAGGCCAATTTAAGATCAGCCCAAGCAACACAGCAAGACCCTATCTCTACAAAAATATCAAAATTGGCTGGGCAGAGTGGCACAAGCCTGTGGCCTTAGCTGCTTGGAGGCTGAGGCACAAGGCTCGCTTGAGTCTGCAGTGAGCTGTGGTCACACCACTGCACTCCAGCCTGGGTGACACGGCAAGACCCTCTCTCAAAAAAAAAAAAAAAAAAAAAGTTATTGCATTCAAAATGTATCTGTCTTTACATTCTCTCTACTGCCTCCTCTCTACCCATCCAAATCTTACACAGTGTTGAAGGGCTAATCAGATTCTATTTTTTATTTTTAAAACTCAAAGATTGTTCACTCACATTAGCACCTATAGTTCTGACATCCTTACACATTTCACTCTAGAAGTCAGAATTTGATTATAGGATTTAAAAATGTAAACTGCTTACTACATGTAACTCTTCTTATACCACCTTCTCTGAAAACCTCCTGAGGGCAGGAAAGCTGAATGTATAACAAGCTTCAGTGAAAAATTCCAACTTTTCTAATAACTCAGGTAAAGGCTAACTGAAACCATGAGATACTGTTTCTTGCCTATCAATTTGGGGAAGAAAATATATAAAGTTTAACAATGTCAAATGCTGGCAATAATGTAGCCAAGTGGAACTTCCATAGTCTTTTGCTGGCTCTTTTAATTAGTAAAACTTTAGAGAACAGTTTGATAGTATCAAGCTAAGTATAGATGTACTATCCCTACAGCCAAGCAGTTTTTCCCCAAGCGTGTATTCTGAACAGTCTTTCCCACAACATATAAAAATCTTCATAGCAGCATGGTTTATAGAAGGAAAAAATTGGAAATAACCTTAATTGTCCATCAGTAGAAGATAAATAA